AATTGTAGCAAGCTTTATTAAATTTGTATCAAAATTTTCATAATTTTTGACGATATTGTCAAAGACAATCAGTAAATTATTAATTGTAGTTTCCATATCAGTTTGTTGCTGGTCCATGTTTTGGTTTTCTGTTGTTTATTGTATTATAAATGGAGAGGACGATAGGTTGCTCTCAATTTACAATAGATAAACATTCACGTTCATTCTATTTATTCAAGATGTTCTTTTATTTACATTGACGGAACACGAAAAAATTAATGCGTACAATACATGTATGACTATCATATACATTATACACCGTAGCATGGAACTGGATTACGTCATCAGGTAGCACGGGATCAGATCTCGTGATTAGTGAAATTAAGGTTAGTATATGCAACCGGATGCATCGTTGGGAAGATGGTCTGATATAGAGTACACCAATAAATCCCGAACATATGAAGGTGTACCAATAAGGCGCCGACTAATGAATCAAAACAAAAATGATTCATTAGCCTTGGCGACGCGATAAAAGTGGGGTCGCGACGAGAATAGTGGGAGGAAATTTGATTATAAATAAGGAGGGCTTTAGAGTAGAAAAGCGAAATAGAATTTCAATCAAGAAATAAGTTCAATAAAACTATAAAATGATTCACCATTGTAATAAAAGTTTTTATTAAATAAAATAATGATTACTATTGTTCTTAAATAAACGCATACATTCCTTCGAATCATTATTGATCTGTCCCCGCACTCTCTATTAATAAAGTAGTCTATCCTAAGGTTACGAACCCTAAATAATGAAACTACGACAACGCGACCGACGAATTGCCTTCTTAGGCAGGAGCTAGCGCCATAACTTGGAGAACCCGATCAACTCAATAAAGGGGGTCGGAGTATTGATCGACGAAATTATAAATAAATCAACGGAAAATTAACTGGGAAACAACCCGTGATCGTACAGTCTCACGGATTACTCGGTAGATCCCCCACATCTATTCCACCGGGTAACAACATACATGTATATGCAGCTGATTGGATGGAAATTGGCATTGGTCGTATTTCCTTTAATGGTGATTTCTGTTGGCTATGCTATGAGAATTCGCGCACGTGTCGCTTCAAGGAATTTGTTGATTCTTTATGTTTTATCGATTTTCACATTATATTTTATTTTTTAGAATGTCAAAGCGAACAATTGCAGCATTGAATCGCGCGGAAACATTCAAAACAAAATATAAAGATTCTATTGCCGGACCGCATAGAACAGTTATTCGTGGTACTTTAATTGTTGCCATCAGATTTGGCGCGTCTCAGAGACTTCGATTTTGTGTCTGAGCATTGGGGCATTGTTAGGCGATCAGGAATATGATTTGTGTTTACTGCTCAAAATCTTTGCCAAATAAAGTAACTATATCATGATTGTTCTTTGTTTGATTGGTTGAATTAGTGAACATTTTTTTCATTTATGTTCAACTTAATACAGCTAATGCGAAAATAGTTGCAATGTCCGTTTTCAAATTGTTTGATAGAAAATCATCATTGATCCAACCGAAATTGAAGGAAAAATACGATCAGACCGATAACCGGTGAATGTAATATGTCTATTGTCGAATTCAGAACAACGAAATGTCAGAATTCTAAGAGGTCTTGATACTGAAATTCTCGCCGGAAGAATGTTGCATTAGTCGGTCCATCCGGTTTGTGGTAAATCTACTATTATCTCTTTGTTCCTTCAATATTATGACGTTGACTCTGGCACCGTAAATGTTGAGCGTGCAGATGTCAAGGATTGGAATCTCGAATATTTGAGATCAAACATGGCATTAATGGTCAAGAGCCGGTTCTTTTTGATATAGCTATTGGTGAGAATAATGCGTATGGAAAGAAGGATACGTCTGTTTGTGAAAAAAGAATTCAGTTGAGCGGCGGACAGAAACAGGTTACTATTTACTAATACGCGTATAATTTTATTTTCAAATACATTTTATTCACATGAATTAGCGCGTCGCAATAGCACGAGCATTAATTCGAAATCCGAAACTATTATTAGATGTAGCAACATCAGCACTCGATTCCGAATCTGAAATAGTTATACAAGACGCTCTAGATCGTGCTCAGCAAAATTATAATTGCATTTCAGGCTAAATTCCTACTAAACTCAAGGAGTTCAGTTTTTAATAATGAGTCGGTCCCAAAGTTGAAATTGTGTATACAATGCGAAATGTTAAAATACGTGATTTTACCATATTAACATAAGTGATAAAAATTCGATTTATTTATTGTAAATTCAACAAAAAAATTTATCATTAGCTTAAAGTTCGCTAATTTTAAGATATTGCCAATTCTTGTTAATATCAACTTTGTTGATATTAACACCACATTATTATCAACATAAGTTAGAAGACAATTTTTGATATAAAGATCTCATAGCTATTAATTTTATATTGTTTGTTGACCCTTTGCTATCAGAATATTATGTACATGTATATCGACAAATTGTACAAATGTTGTGTTTAATTAAAATAATACCGTTAAAATTTTCTAAAATTTGAGAATATACAGCCCGCATGAAAAGCTATGAATGTTAGTTTTTTAAATTAAGATGCATTTAAAGACAACTACATAAAAATTTATCTCTAGAATACTTCTAATCAGGACGTCATCAATATAATTATCATAAATAAAAAAAATGTATTAATAACGAGAATAATAAAAAAATACTGATGATAAATAGACATATAAATCAAAATTCTATTAGTATTAGGCTTTCAAAATGAAAATTTCTTCGAAATTAAAAGATCCAGGAGCTAGATCATATCCATTCTTATAACCCTTTTGATACCATCTTCAAGTTTCATATTCCGCTTTTAAATACCAATTAAATACTTCATTATTATCTTTGATTTTCCATTTCTATCTTCATAGCAGAGAGCAAGCGCAAATTGTGCATCAGGTTTTCCAGGCTCTGCTGAGTTTAAATACCAATTAAATTTTTTTTTTCAGCTTTGATTATTCCTTTTCCAATTACATAACAGAGAGCAGACTCTGCTAATTTTAAATACCATTCGAATGCTTTTTTTCATCATTTTTGTTCCTTTTCCATCTTGATAACAGAGAACAAGCGCAAATTATGCTTGAGAAAATCCAGATTCTGCTGATTTTAAATATCACTTGAATGCTTTTTGTTTATCTTCTTTTAATCCAAGCCTTGTCGTTGTATAATGCTCCGTCGTATAATGTTCCAATTAAATACAGTGGCGTTCAAAAGTAATGCATACTAGGACGAAAAAACGAATCGTGGAATTTTTAGCAATATAGACGCCACAGGTAAATGAAACTTAGCCCATATATAG